CATCCACGATGTTAATTCTTTGTAAAAGTCTAAATTATTTGTCCTTTGCTTCTTATGTTTTGTTTATTATATTATACTACTTGTTATTACATAATAGCATGAGATGTATTCAACTATTCTTGTGGCATATATATGTGTTAATTAATGAAATTCTTTTGTTTCAACTATCCGCTTAAATGAACTTATTTCATTCTGATATGTGACGTAATGATACCACCAATTAGAGAATAGTGATTTATCGACCAGATCAATGACGTATAAAACTTGTACGAACAATCTAGAATTCTTCCTGTCTAGCCCTGCCTGTTAAGTTCAAAATACCAATCTCAGCCTCCGCGATATGAATCATCTATTTCAAACATACTGGGTTTGTATAAAAGTCAAATTGATTATATCGCACCACAAAATAGAAAACAACATTTATACAAGATCTAGCCAAAAGTGACTGTGAATGTGGAAGACTGTAATTGATAGAATTGGTAGAACTCAAGAACGGTAAATCGTATAATGATAGTCTATTGGTCAAAATAAAGCTTCTATTAAGAGGAACATGAATATGCATAGTTTAGTTAATTAATAAGTATACAATAAAAAATATATATGTATTAGTCCATAAATAGATCCCAACAGTTACCATTCATTATTCTCATCGGGATATAACTGATTGATTTTATATGATTCCTACCTTTATTATGGTACTTAAAAACAAGTTTATTGTTATGTTTTAGAATAAAAACTACAAAATTATTCGACTTGTCTTGGGCAATTCGACTACCGTCAAATAGTAAAGCTTGTCAAGTTCACATCCTTTTGTAATTAATATCACAGACTAATCTTAGTTAAATGACTAGTAAAAAATATAAAGTATATGACAGTTATTTTTAATAGGATGAGATTCTACAGTAGTATAGATCTATTGAATTAACTATAGGAATTTCATGTTTCGCAGAGGGTGCTTAATCTGCAGAACATTGAACTAGCCGAGACATAAATGCATACTTCTGATGAGCCCCATTTCTAAACCGAAACAACTGTCCGGTATTTCTTGATTTTCAATGATGTTTTTAAACTATATCATTCTGTGACGTAAAATATCAAATGTAAATGCAATTTTCAGATTTATATTACACATTTTGATTGAATGTATATTCACTTGTCTTCGTATTTTTCGATTCTTAATTTTAATTTGTGTGAATGGTTTTCAGACATCTCACGTCTTATATGGATAAATGAAACATATTTGCGAATAAATTCAAAAGGATTTCTGTGTTGTTTGATTAAACATCATGTGGATGGATATACTTCGGCGATACATCACTCAATCTAGATATTACCATAAATGGAGAAGTGTTATCTAGGTTACATGCAGTAGTAGACTTAGGACTTAGATACTCCCAAGACTTGTCGTTTACAGAACAGTTATTAAAACAGACCTCTAAGTCTCAACGTCTAATAGGTTACATAACTCGAAACCTTTACAACAATAAGTCACGTATTCTAATGCACAAAGTTTGTGCTCGATCACTTCAAAAATATTGCATGTTTATTTTTAGCAGTGCGCGCATAAAGGATAAATTAAGGCTGGAATAAGTACAGAGACGATTTACACTTCACATTCTTGGAGCTGATTGTACCTTAACTTATAATTCTAGATATAATAAACTTGTGCTAGACCCTTTATGTAAGAGGAGAATCAAACTAAGTCTTGTCTTTTTCTTCAAACTACTTCATAAACTATCCTTTACATTCAATCACGTGATTCAATATGCAGAAACTTCTCATTATGACATCCGTAATTTCCTGACACTAGTCAAACAAACTTATTCTAAATCATCTCTTTATATGAATCACTTCACCTGTAAATTTTCTAGACTCTGGAATAACCTACCACAATCTATCCGTACGATAAAGTCACTCCCATTATTTGTTCGCTGAATCGATGCATACTGCTCCTCTGAAAATGCATTGAATCGTCTAGCACCTGTAAGTGTATCTCACTCCACAAGTGATATTATAGGAACACTAATTGTCTAGGCATTTTTATTAGTGCATTCCTTAAGTATAACCATCTACTTGCTGTCACTTTATGTTAACACCGTCCCCAGAAAGTTTAACTAGTTTGAATAACATAAACAGTATATCACTGTGTCACATGACACACGTATTTAGATAGACCTGACTTATATATTTTGCTAATTACTGCTTTGTTTTTCCGTGCTCTCTGTTTTCGTTTTACTTTCTCTGGTTGTAGATAATTATCATTAATTCGATCTGGCACACGAAATGACCTTAATTACTCCGTTCATAAATCAGTAGGCTGTCCATTTAAGAAATATTAAAAATTCCCGAACGATGCATTGGATCGCTGTAATATATATATACTACTTAAACAACTACTGAACTAGTATACTTAAAACTTTCTTCTATCACATGTTTGTTCTGCACGTCTAATGTTACTGTTTATATCAAATTGATCATGCCTGTAAATTGACGTGAATTCTGTAATTATTATTTTTCATAATATATAAATTATTATTATTATGAATTTCACAACCTTATCGGTATATGTATTTTATCTACAAAAGTCTATTGATTGTATTTTAATGTAAAGGAAATTATTATTGATTATTTTATACTGAAAAAACATCTTTCTGTCCAATGATATGCATTGGGGAGATCCAGAGAATTCCTCGAAAAATGCCCCAAATGGCTTTGAAAACTGAGAACCATCTTATCCAATTAGTATTCAATGAAAGTTTTGCCAGAAACATCAAGAAAGTGAAAAGTTATATGTCACGTTTCTAATTGGATGATTACCTTTATTGCTACTACGTTTAGTAGTGTTCCAGAGTTTACCGGAAGATAAGGCCATCTAAAATACTGTAAAGCCCAAGATATTTTGTACATAAACGAACCTCTCATATTTGTATCATATACATTAATGAAACATTATTTACATGAGACTGAAGCATCGTTTTGAGTACCATCTTATTTAAATATTATATCCATACAATGAAAATTAGATTAAATTTTTAAAAATTCATTAAATGAATTAACTGACTTGTATAATTCACATAGGATTATTGTTTACTTACTTACTAACGCTTGTTACTTCTAACGGAGCAAAGGCCATCGACCAGCATTCTCCAACCTATTCTGTCCTAGGCCTTCCTTTCTAGTTCTATTCAATTTTTGTTCATTCTTCTCATGTCTATCTCTATTTCTCGACGTAATGTGTTCTTCTGTATTCCACTTCTCATTTGAACTTGAGGATTCTAGATGAGGACTTGTCTTTTGATGCAATTGGGTACCTTCCTCAATATGTGTTCTATTAACTCCCAACGCTTCTTCCTGACTTCTTCCATCGTTGAGATCTGGTTTCTTCTCTCCCACAGTAGGTTGTTTATGATAGTGTGCGACCAACGGATGTGAAGTATTTTGCGTAGACAGATGTTAATAGACACTTGTATCTTCTGGATGATTGCATTGGTAGTTCTCCATGTTTCCGCCCCATATAGTAGAACTGTCTTGACATCTGAATCGAAAATTCTGACTTTGGTGTTGGTTGACAGTTGAGTTCCAGATGTTCTTCAGTTGTATACAGTATAGCATCAATTTCTCAATCTGTTTACTAAGTTTGATAGAAACTAAGCACAAACTGACCTTATTTAGACAACCAATGAATACCAGGTAGATATTTCATTCCAGTGTGAGACTGTTCATGAATTTTCATCCACTACAATAATAGGAATCAAACCCAGAACCTTAAGGTTCCTCGAGGGTTGATTGAAATTTGCACCGTTATATACATCTAATGGTTTACATTTCAAAATTCAGCAAATCCGTGACATTATGCTAGCATCATCCATTAGCACTAATAATATTTTTCTGACATCTAACATGACTGTACTACATTATAGTAATTTAATAGTTGAATTCATGGGTCAATTAAAATTAGACCACCGTGGAAAACTTGGAAGCATTGGACGATCGATTCAATCTAGCATGGGACATCTTAGCAGTGTGTATCCACGATTCCGCCCTGCGAGATTCGAACCAAGGACCTAGCAGTCTCGCTCATGAATGCTCAACCACTAGACCACTGAGCCGATCGGCATCCAACGGTGTTAATGTCGAACTTCAACAAATTCACGAAATTGAGCCACCGTCCACCAATGTCTTCAGTGAGTTACTATCTCACAACAGACCCGGTTGGAATCCACTGGTCACTGCTTCTCACTAGAACTCCAGAAACTACCTATTGAAGCTAGTCACTAGTGAACATACGAAAATGATTATTATGAGAACGGATTTTGTGAAGATTTTAGTCATTTCAATGGTTAAATTCATGAGTCAGTTAAAACTAGACCACTATGGAAAACCTGGAAGCACTACACGATCGTTTTGTTCTATTATGGGATTCCTCATCAGTACGCATCTACAATCGCGCCCCGAGGGATTCAAACCTAGAACCTAGCAGTCTCACTCATGAACACTTAACCTTTAAACCACTGAGCCATCATCCAAAGATGTTAATGTTTAACTTCAACTAATCCATGAACATTATTAATCCTTGATACTTAACTGAACTCTAGGAATTACCTCATATAATTAGTTATTAGTAAGTAGATATCGATTTGAATCTAGATATATATACATAGTTCATACAGTATATTGAATACTATAAGTTGTAAAACATAAACAAAGTTTAAATAAACAATCATTAACCATTAAATAAAAGTAAATATTAAAATTTTTATCTTTCTAAAAATATTTTATATATTATCTTTAAACAATATTCATATAAACATATTATTGAAATACCTTATTAGTATTATGTATTAACATCATTAGAAGTGATTATGAATATAAAATTTTAATTATTAAAAGAATGTTATATGTGTGAATACATTTCAATAGATGATAGAACATACATATTGATTGATAAAGTTCACTAGTTATACAATAGACTGATTATTCAATCATGAAAATATATATAAATGAATTATCTAATCTATTTATCATTTAGATTTGAAAGTATTCTAATCTTACAGTAAGTATGATAAACTACATTCTTACTAAATATATATATTACTATTTGTATATGTGTTTGTATATATATATATGATGTTGATGTAGCTTTCATTATATTATCTGGATAGTTAGGAAATGTTAGACAAAAGTTAAGTCTTGGTTATGGTTGAATTGTTCAATATATATGATGATTGTTATTGAGTAGAAAATATGATTGTCAAAATCTTATGAAGTAGTGTTACAATCATCTTGTGTTGTTAGTGAATACTTACTTAGTTACTTACTTACTTACGCCTGTTACTCCTAATGAAGTACAGGATGCCGATCAACATTCTCTAACTCACTCTGTCTTGAGCGTTCCTTCCCAGTTCTATTCAATTGTTGTTCATTCTTCTCATGTCTATCTCCATTTCTCGACGTAATGACTCAGTTGGGTACTTTCCTCAATGTGTGTTCTATTCACTCCCAACACTTCTTCCTGATTTCTTCCTCCACTGGGATCTGTTTTATTCTTTCCCACAGTTGGTTGTTGCTAATAGTGTCCGGCCAACGGATGTGAAGTATTTCGCGTAGACAACTGTTAATAAACACTTGTATCTTCTAGATGATGGCATTGGTAATTCTCCACGTTTCTGCCCCAAATAGTAGAAATGCTTTGACATCTGTATTGAAAATTCTGATATTGAAGCCTCTCTTAGACTACTGCCGGTCTCAAGCTCGAATAAAAAAGAGGGTTGGATATAGGGTTACTGACTACATCCCATAGAAAACTAAGTCGCCAAAAAAAACGCTAACGTCGTCAATGAATACTTTTTTTATAATTAACATGATTGAACTTCACTAATTATGATTTCTAACTAATAATGGGAGCAGGGATGAATCATAGAAATTGAAAAACAAACCTATTGAATCATAACTTCATCAATCAACAATAATTATTATGTTGTGAAATCTTATGATAATGAGTTTACAGTAGTTTTAACTAGAGATTAAACAATTATCCAATGTTTCATAAGTGTCATCAGTTATTCAAAGAATATTGTCAAGTGTAAAGTATTCACTTCAAATTACGTAATAACCGGTTTCTATCAATAAACTTGCAAAATATTTCATTTCATTTCTGTTCAAAACTTACTCAAGATTCTCATCCATAATTTGAATAGTTTAATGATTTTTTCCAATAGTTAAAGGATTTTGATCAGTTTAATAAAAGTCAAGTAGGATCCATTGAAGTTTATACCTTTAGATTTATCAAATTGGAATTTCACCGTTCAATTTTGTTAATCTAATTAATGTATACTGTTTGGATAAGTGTGATTGAGAAGTTGTTTAATGAATAGAACTCATAGGATCCAAATATTAGGTCATAAGTACGAATGCAACTCCATTTAATTCAGTTCAACTAATCTAGTATTTTCACTATCACTCATATCTATACACTGTCCAATGATAGGTGTGTTAAAGTCAATTTGTTAAATAAGTGCTTCCAGGTTTTCAATGGTGGTCTAACTACAACTGACTCATGATTTCAACTTGTGAAATTTTTTAAACTCTCCACAAAACCCATTCTGATAATAATCAACTGCTCACTAGTGGCTGACTTCAGGAAAAACTCCTGGAGTTCTAGTGAGAAGCCGTTACCAGTGGAGTTCAACCGGTCTGTTGTGAGATAACAACTCACTGAAGACAATGGTGTACGGTGGCGCAACTTCGTGGATTGGTTGAAATTAGACGTTAACACCGTTGGATGCTGGCTCAGTTGTCTAGTGGTTAAGTGCTCGCGCGCGAAGCCGGTAGGTCCTGGGTTCGAGCCCCGCGTGGTGCGGAGTCGTGGATGCGCACTGCTGAGGTGTCCCATACCAGGACGAAACGGCCGTCCAGTGCCTCCAGGTTTCCAATGGTGGTCTAGCTTCAAATGACTCATGATTTCAACTTGTGGAATTCGTTAAATAAGTGTTTGAACTTCATTACATCCCTTTTTACTCCTATTTGAAGAAGCATTAGTCTTAAGGCTATTCGTATATTCAAACTAAAAATCATTAATGCTTTTTACTCTCCATCTTGGTTACAGATATATTCATTAGTAAAAAGATTTTGTGGAGATAGTTGAATTTCCGTAATTTACATCACTTATTTATCATTGGTATAAAAATACTGAAAACCATAAAGCACCGGATATAAGTTCCATCCTATAGTGAGACTCCTCAGCAGTACCCACTTACGAACATCTAGAGGATCAAACATTGAACCTTCAGTCGTCATATTGATGAATCGGTGTCTGGTAGCTTACATGTAAACTTTAATCAAGTAACTATAAATGGTCACTAGTATTTGATTTAGAGAGGTGTTTCTCACAAATCTCATGCAAAGTCATGACTAGTGGGGTTCAACCATGCTGGACATGAAAGATTTATTTATTTATTTATTTCAACACATATATATTGGTACAAAGAGGCACCAAATACATACGCGACACACAAATCTCATTCGATATGTATGAGGGCTGTAATACTGCCCGGGTGCCCAAACCGAAGCAGGTGGTTTTCTTAGGGGGCAACACCCCGAGCCTTCGACCTGAGGGTCTGATCCACAAGGCAGTAGAGCATCGTAAGGAGATGCAGTTTTTTCATTTTCGTAAACAACACCCCGTCACGAGAAGGCAGTGAGTAGGACTTCCCTGGCAGAGGCTATATACGCGTGGCCATGTGAGAGCATTTCGAGAGGGAGAGCGAACTATCTCCACTCTCGGCCGTACCAGAGCATTTGGGGGCGGACTATTGGCTGCAGTTGAGAATATAAATTATTGGATTTTAACTCGGTGGTAAGAAGTTTAAGCGCTCATTATAAGACCTAGAGACTCTGGATTTATAAACCGGCAGGATCGTGGATGAGCACTATTAAGGAGTCTCACACACAGATGCAATAAATGCCTAATACCTCTCACTTTCTAATGATTATATAACTAAGGTTCGTTCATGATGAAAAGTACAGAATTCATTCACGTTGAGGTTTGCTACATTCATGCATTTCATTTCACATGAAACTGATTTAATTTTAAAGGTTATTCATTTTACATTTTTACAAGTCAGTTTACGCCTTTTGCGATTTGAAATTATGAAATACTAAACATTAGTTTCGGTGGAGTTTTGTTCTTTGAGCCAGATGGTTCGGTCGTGGAGCTTTCATCTTTCTTCTGAACGACATCATCAGCACAAACTTCTGGTAGAAGTGAAGTGTTCGAATTTTTCCACATGTGGTTCACAGCATGTCCTGTACAACTTGATGTTGATTAGTTCTTACTGACCTTAAATTTGTCATTGTTTATTTTTTTGTTTTGCATGTATCTTTCATTGGTTTGATTTCGTTCCTATTTGTGCATAATTTTCCTAATTGGTTGATAAACTGGATTGATTTCAATGTGCTTTTTTATTGCTGATTGATCTGAGTGCCAAGCTTCCAAAAATTCTCTAGTGTTTTCGGAATTGCCTCTATCCAAAATCAGTCAGTCAAATAGCAACGGAAATGAGGAGATACAACTTGGCACTACTTGAAATCAGCGAAACCCATTGGACCCAATCTGGATAGCAAACGCTAGATACGGGCGTGCTGTTGCTATAATCCGGTCACGAAGAGGAAAATGCTCCGCACGCTCAGGGAGTTGCTCTAATGCTGTCCAAAGAAGCAAGAAATGCACTTGTACAATGGTAATCTCACGGATCCAGAGTAATCAAAGCATCATTCGAAATAAAGAAGGAGGGGTTCACAATCAATGTTATCCAGTCTTATGCACCCACCAATGATAGCAATGAAGACGATAAAGACAAGTTCTTCGAGAGGCTGCAATCGATCATAGTGAAGTACCCAAGAAAGGACCTAACTATCCTGATGGTAGATCCAAACGCCAAAGCCGGAATGAACAACAACGGTTATGAGGATATTATGGGACTATATGGACTAACTGGGAGAAAGGAACGATAATGGGGAGAGATTTGTAAATTTATGTTCATTCACTCAAAATGGTTACAAGCGGCACAATATTACCCCACAAACGCATACACAATGCTACATGGATGTCACCAGGTCATACTGCACAGAACCAGATTGATCATATTTGCATCACCAACAAGTTCAGAAGGTCAATGGAAGACGTGAAAACCAAGAGTGGAGCTGACATGGATTCAGATCACCACTAGCTGGTGGTCAACAAGATGAAATCGAATCTAAAGAAGCACTGGAAAACTGGACAAACAGAATTATAAAGGTTCAATACAGTCTTCCTTCAACATACTGACAAACTGAACGACTTCAAGATAACTCTCAACAACGGGTTCCAAGTCTTACAGGATTTTCTGAATAAAGAATAAACTACTTTGGGGATTAACAAGAAAGTGATCAACGAAGCACTAACTTCAACGTGTAAGGATGTTCTTGGCGACAAGAAGCATCATCATAAGGAAGGATCTCTTTAGTAACACTGGAAAAGATCAAAGAAAGGAAGAACAAAAAGACCGCAAATAACAAGAGCCAAACATGAGTAGAGAAAGTTCAAGCACAAGCTGATTGCACAGAAGCAAACAAGTAAGTGAAGAAAACCATTAAAACCGACAAGCAGATATACGTAGAAGACCCAGTAGCGACAGCAGAAAAAGAGAAGGAAATATCAAACAATTATATGACACGATGAAGAAAGTGGCAGGGAAATATAGTAAACCAGAGAGATCGGAGATGATCTATTCAGGAAGCTCTGGGAGGAGTAACAAGTGCTGATAGACTGGAAAGAAGGATAGCTCATCAGGATACCAAAGAAAGGAGATCTGAGCAAATATAAGAACTACGGAGGCATCACACTACTATCACCACCAGAAAACGTTTTCAACAGTGTTGCTGAACGTGATGAAAGACGCAGTAGATGCCCAACTTTGGGATCATCAGGATGGACTCCGTAAGGATCAGTCGTGCACAGACCAAATCGCGACACTACGGAACATCGTTAAACAATCAGTTGAGTGGGACTCGTCACTATACATCAACTTCATTGACTATGATAAGGCGTTTGATAATGTAGTTAGAAGGACATTGTGGAAGCGTCTACAAAACTGTGGAGTGGGTAGTTGAAAAAATCGTCAACGTTATCCGGAATTCATACAATGGACTACACTGCAAATTCGTGCATAGTGGACAGCTGACAGACTCATTTTAAGTAAGGACCGGAGTCAAATAATTCTGCTTACTCTCCCACTTTCTCTTTCTTCTCCTGGTAGACTGGCTTATAAAGACCTCGACATCTGACAGGAAGCACGGAATACAATGGAAAGGTTGGATGGAACTAGACGATTTGAACTTTATAGATCATCTAGCCCTTCTATACCATATACACGAATGGATGTAGGTCAAAACAACCAGTGTGCCAGCAACCTCTGGATCATTTGGCCTCAACATACACAAGATCTTCAAATACAGCATGGAGAACACTAACCCAATCACACTTGATGAAGAAACTCTGGAAAAAAAGGAATCATCCACGTACCTGGACAGTATCAAGGACAGCATTCTTTTAGTTAAAGAACATGTGGAACTCAAAACAACTGTCAACCAACATCAAAGTTAGAATCTTCAATACGAACGTCAAGAGAGTTCTACTGTACGGAGCTGAAACGTGAGGAACTACTACAACCATCATCGAAGAGGTACAAGTATTTATAATTAGTTGTCTACACAAGATACTCAGTGTCTAATGACCGGATACCATCAGTAACAGCCTACTGTGGGAGAAAAAAATCCAGCTTTCAGCTAAAGAGGAAATTAAGAAAAGATGTTAGAAGTGGCTAGGGCACATATTGGAGACCATCAAACTGCATGACGAGGTAAGCACTAACTTGTAATCCCGAAGGGAAGCAAAGAAGTGGAAGGCCAAATAACATACTACGTGGGGAATTGGAAGCAGATATGAAAAGGATGAATTACAACTGAAAAGGACTGCCTAGGACAAGGTTGGTTGGAGAATGCTTGGGAGTGAACTATTCTCTTCCACGAGGGATAACAGGTTTAGGCAAGTATGTATACTAATGTTAGTAATTTCGCTACCAATGACCAGTAGTGTTCATAGAAAATCAAAAAATGGCAGCTTGTTATGTAAAATAGTTTTCGATTGCTCACTTTGTATATTATTTGACCGTCACAGTCGATGGAGATTTACAACCTCATCAACTGATTTATCATTATTCCCTAATACATTGAGTCTAACCTCATTATTACTTACCCAGTGATTCCATCAGATAAGAGCAATATTTCTAAGGCATCTGTGGTCAAATACTAGTAACTAATGTTTCATTAATTTTTTTTTTATACAGAAGAATGAGAAAACCTATGGCAATGAAATATACAATACTTCTTTTAATAATAGTTCAAATGATATTTATGAAGTCACAAGACATGGAGTCTGAAGATAAATCAAAGAGTGAAAGTGCTAAATCTCGTAATTGTAAGTAATTGATTACTTTCAGACATTGATCAGTTGAATGATTTGATGTTTAGTTTTTTTTTCTTCCTTCAAATTTCACAATCTAATTAACAAATTATAATGAAGTTTATATACTTTAGATGAGAAAAGTCTCGTTTGGTATATTTACATCATAAGTTGATTGTTATGATATAGTCAGGTTAGATAATCAATAAATTATGGATATAAATGATAGCAAGAGAGAATATTCTATTGCTATGTGAACATTGACACTGCGATGGAAGTCTATTCATCATTAGAGAAGTCTCTTAAAAGGCAGGTATAACTGTTCGTATATATGCTCTACTTAGATTTGATAACCAGTTATTGTTTAAAGGTTATTCATTATGTAAAAAATTGTATTTACGTCATTGTAAAGCATTGGTAATTACAATCTGAAATGTTGACTAAACACCGATAGTGAAGAACTTATAATTATACTTGTTTATGGAAGTGTCTTTAACTTCCATTGCAAACACTACTTTTCCAGTAATGTTAAGGATTGGAGAAGTGAGCATTTACGAGTTGTTATAAATACACGTTGACTAGCTCTACGTTATTTCAGCTAGACAACGTTAGAAACTATACTATTGATGCTAAGTATCATCAAGGTCTATTAAACACTACTGATGTTATAGCTGTTTGATCTAACTGATACAAGTGCTAAATGCCATTTTCGGATTCCTCTCTTCGTTAGTCGGTGGGAATGTTATAATCATGATCTTCATCAGTGAATCCAGTTTCCTTCGTCAAAGTTTTCCAGATATTCCTAGTTCCAAATATATTGTATCAAAATTCTCCTGATATGTCATAAAGAAATTGAAATCAAGGTTTGGTAACAATGCAGACACTTAAATACATCGAAGGGAAGATATCTGTTTATGATATCGGAAGTTATCTCACACTTGCTTGGGTCATGGCTGCAATTATAATGATTTAGGTGCTCGCCTTTTTGCTTGTTATTGCGCTCTGTTGTACTGGTTGGTTGAGGCTTTAAACCCAGCTAATCTACAAAGTGAGATATTATGGAGTTTTTCAGCTGTTTATACTTATCAGGGTATTATTCTTAGACAACTGAAGATTAGATGCCACGAAAATATATAATAATTAGTAAAGGGTGTTAAAATTCGGTGTATTTACATACTCATTTCTGATCCTCAGGTTAGTGCGATGATATTTTACAAAGTTAAGACTTTAGTCAACCTCTCTGTCCTAATAAGCGAAGGGTTCAAACAGACAATTGGAGATGTGGGCACTCATCAGTTATTAAACATTTTAAAAGAGTATTTGTTCAGAGACATATCACATCCATAGAACTAGACACTGTAATGATTTCTCTTCTTCAATATTGAGGTGAAAAACTTTACTCGCATCCATAAGAACCCTCAGAGGAATAAGTATCCACGTTAAAAATTAAGAATAAAATTTATGAGTAAAGTTTATTCATTCTCACATTAATTATATTCTATTTTCTTTTTTCTTTTTCTTTTTTTTAAATTCTTATTTAAACAGTATACTTAGGTGTAGTGATCTTGGTTGTATTTGGTGTTAGTTTATTGATCTTGGTTATTGTCGCAATTATTTGCTTTCGTAAACAAAAAACACCAATCATTGATCCAGTAACTGTAATTGAAGCTATGTGAACGATGTGTTTCATGATAAACTTTCATATTTTTTTTGAAGAATGCTGTTATATACTGTTTATTATTATTAAAATACTTTCATTATTCCATCGTAACAATGACTTATCTGATATGTATATAACTCGTCTTACTTTGTTTAATCTGATTAGCGTTTTTTTTAACAAGAGTTTCTTTTCTACAGGATGAGGTTGCCGACTTCATATCTAATACTCCTCTGTTATCCAGGTTTGGGACTAGTAGTAACTTAAGAAAAGCTACAGGCGGAGTTCATCTAATGTCTATTACAAGACAAAATAATAATAAAAGATAATTTGGAAATATTATAGATAAAATCAATTATTATTGTGAAGATATTTTGATACTTACCATTTTCTTATGTCTAACGAACTTTTCGTTGAACCAATCTTTCTTATTTAATATCTTAATGGGTGTATTCTGTTTACTTACTATTTTATTAATCAGTATTATATGAGTGAATCTTTAAAAAAATATATATATATTTGGATTTCCATAGATATTCTTGCATGTCTTCAAATGCATTTTTCGTTAATGAAATGAGAAGACAAAAATGAACAGAATTATGTAATATATTTGTGTATGTTAGATCTATCGAAGTGTCCAGGTCATCCGATTGAGATACGCGCAAAACCGAAGATCGCAAAACAACGATTTATCTACAGTAACGTTTCTTTATTGAATAATGCATAAATTTAGTTACAAATCTCAACTTGTGAGGTGTCTGAGGCGTTTAAACACGTCCATCCGTATCACATAAAAAAGCTTCGATAGTACAAAGGACAGCTGATATCTGTGTCTAGATTCGATGACAGTTTATCAACAACCGAAACTTGAACCAAGAGCAAAACGATATGAAAACTGTTGCGTTTAAACAAATGCACAAAACTGTAGATAATCGCTACAGTGATTGAGGTAAAGTAATTATAATGATAAATACAATGGTAAGTGCAATAAACGTTATAAGTATGTGTGAACATTTCAGAATATTACAGTACAACATGCGTTACAACATAAGTGTGAAAATTGCTGGCAATACAACTGTTTACTGAATGTAAATAAGTAGTATAAAACAGTTTACAAAAGACTGGAAGAGAACTGCGTAAGAACAATGTAAAACAGACTTAACAATACAATACATTTCGTAAACAGAATACATTCATTGAGAAGTTAAATAAGAAAAACTAGTTCAACAAAGAGTTCTCTTTTCGGCGAATCCATTTTCAAAGCTGTACAATCGCATATATATATAAATATATATATACTTAGTCTTTCAGGATGATAACAATTACAATAATGATAATAATAAACTTTTGTTAGAAATGGTGACAGTGAGGTAGAATATATCAAGGTATTAAAAAAGTATTTCAATAAGGAAGCTATGAAGGAAAGAGAATAGTCTCCTGCCTCCTCTTCCATTTTCTTCTTAAACCTTAAACCCTCAACTGGTTTATTTCTGTTTCTATGATCCTCCTGATTACATTTCACCGCAATTTCAACATTTGACCTTATCATACCCAGCCATCCTTTCCCAATCATAAGTTCCCTATCTATCTTTTGATGAATATTAAAAATCAAACGATTATTAGTTGCCCTGTTTTTTTGAATACCTTTGTTTACTCTACTTCATTGTTACCATGTATATTATCAATATTATTGTAACTATTATCATCCTGAAAGAACTCTTTGCTCAACCAGTCTTTCTTATTTAATTTCTTAATGGGTGTATTCCGTTTACTAAGGTATTCAAAGGACCCTTCAACAGTAAAAAAAAAAACTTAATGGGTTTCTGCGTTATTCTGTCAGACTTGCTGAAGTACATGAGAATGTTATCTTTTTTAAGTATTGTGTTAAAATGCATCAATACATTTCAAACAATCTGATTACACATATACTTGTTAAGACATTTTTAAGATGAAAACTATAAGATCAACTAGACAGATTAAAGGTAAGCCGTAACAAAGATAATAATAAAGTACACCAAAACTATGTGATAAACATTCTGGATAATAAATCACTATAACCAGGGTAGGTTAAGGGTAAGAACAAATTAAATTCACTTGATATTGCTTACTTGAATTAAAACAGTGTCGAAGCAATACATACAGTATACACATATGCCAATAAGAGATTGATCAATTGCAGTCCTAAAAATCAATGGGAAGATTCAAGTAAACAATACCAAGTGAATTTAAACTTCACCCCATTTCACAAACAAGTGACTATCAGGACTCAGTAGCTAAGTGGATAACTTGATGGCATTTGAAGTGAACCGTATTGAGTTCGTGTTGCAGAGTGAACATCAACTCTGAGATGCAGAAACATCCAGCTAACGAGTCCCAAATAAGGAGAAACACGTGTTCTGAATTGCCCTGCTACTCACTATCCATCTTTGGTTGTATGAACAAATTGTTATTGAATAAATAAAGGGGGTTTCAGTTTCCGTATAGCCAAAGCTTCAACAAACCATTATATACGCCCTTGAAGGCTTTTGTACAACACTACAAATGCTGACTTGATATCAAACTTATGACTAGTCTCAACCAAATGTTTCGCTACAGAGGAAGATATTTGTCTATTCTGTGATCTTATTTAGCCATTGGAATTCATTTATTTCTGACGCTATTTGGGCATATGTTCCGCCACCCTTACTGGTAAATCACGATTGCTTCTCCCTATGTACATCTTTCCGCGTGTACATTTAATGATATCTAATAAATCTTATCTACATTTTGTATAAATTCTCATTTGTTGTATGAATATAGTATAGCAATTTGTGTAATGCAAACATGTATTCACCATATATGAATAATCTGAGGTTGTTTTTTCTATATGTTAGGTGGTAAATAATGATTCTATTTATTCATTGTAATTAAATTACATCTTTTGGCGTATCCTGCCATCGGATCTGTCTTCTCGTTTGGTTTTCAAGTGTTCTGTCAACACCGTGCTTTCGATTCACTGAAACTTATCATTATATTTTACAATTATTGTTGACGTAACGTTCTACTACACACTACGTTAAAGGTATTCTTGTAAGTAGAGTCGATTACGGTGAGACTATAATTTATGAACGAACCAATCAGATATAAAAGAACAGATCTTGAATTTCGCATGGAAATTCATTCATCTATTTGACTAAATAGCGTTTTGGCATTCTAGCTAACGTTAACTCGTGAGGAAAACCATCAGCTGTATATCATAATTCTAATTCCTTATACTGCCTATCAAGCATCATATAGTCCTAGTTAGTAGGTGGAAATTCACAAGGTCACTTTAGCGTCACTCAAAGGTTATCCATAAATTATAGTCTCGCCTCTATCACGCATTTAATACATGGGTTGAATCTATCTTTAACATAAATTGATTCATCTTGTTATTTTTACTACAACATTATGGTTGATATAGAATAGATGAAATGTGGCTAGGGTAGGAATCTTAGTTATTTCCCTTGTCCTTTTTGAGACTTGGCAACTGAAGGTACATGCATCTCACATTGAGAGAATTTGTCGGGGTTTGAGAAGCAGGTAGATCTATATGACGAGTCCCAAATAGGATGAAACTCACTTTCTGGACTCCACTGCTACACGCTATCCATCTTTGCTTATTAATTATGATTATTATCTTAAAGAGGCTTAGATCAGACTTCTCGGGGAAGAGTTGAAATTATTTAAATTTAAGTCACTGGGATTATTTCAGAAATGTTTTGATACATAATGTCTTGAATATACTTGAAACCGAGTTTCTGTCAAACTATTCAGGTTTGCATTCGATACCCGGTGGTAATTTTGTGGACACACTGCTGAGAGGTTCGATACTATAAAAAACAGCTATTATGTGCTTCCAGGTTTACAATGTTTGTCTTACTTATATTTGTTCGTTACTTGACCAAAGATCGATAATCTCAGCAACCTCGTAATTGATACTTGTTACACCTTGTCTAGTGTTATTGTAGGATACTACTATTTTGGTCAAAGTAATTTTGCCCAAAAGAAATGATAACCTGTTTTCTCTTTGAAGCCATTTTTATGGAGCAGAAGATAGTATAAGTTATGAGAATGTTGTTCAGATCGTAAGCTTATCTAAGTTAGGCAACTATTGAAGACATGAGGTCACTTAAGAGACATTTCTTTCTAGTATGGGACTCCTCAATAGTGTACATTCACGATCCCTTAGCTGAGAACCGAAACCAGGACCTTTGCTATCACGTGCTAACTCCAAATTTCTAGACCACTGACTCGGGACCCAATTTTGTACAAGTCTAAATTTAGACAGTGTGACTATGTCACAACCACATGGGTTATTCTAGCTTCCAGAAAGACCAGTTTGTTCATTCGTCTTGAGTCATATTTTTACATTGTCAAGTATTTACTTATTAACCTTGACTGTTTATATATGGGCGTGTGTTAATCCCTTACTCTACTCACGACATATCTGTACCATAATTTTGTCTGACTATAAATATCAATTCACGCTTAGTTAAATGGTGTTGGCTTACTTGCCTTTTTCATTGCGCGCCATTTCATTTCGCATCGCTTTTTCTGCTTCGTTTTTCTGATCGTCTGTCTGGATCAACAGTTGTATGAAATATACGAAGCCGAAATCCATTCCCATATTTGACTTATGTTTTATTCTGTTATTAACTGACGCGTGTTTAATCACTGATAATTTACAAGGATTAGTGGAATGTATATTTCGACAACAATCGTCAGACGATATGAGTGGAGTTAAATATCGGGCCACTAAGAATGTATTTCGTTTAGAAGTGACATATCAAGAGAAAAACAAATGTCCTGTTATCAAAAATAATCTGACAAATCGCTCCACTAACTAAGAATGGCCATGCACTACCATCTACTGAATCAGAAAAGAGCTATCAATCTGTCAATCCTCACAGTGTTCAGGCCGGATTAGTTTTCATATGCTAAGTCGAATTAAACTGCAGGCTCCACACCTGTTGGTGTCCTTCCGTCAATTCCTTTAAGCTTCAGCTTCGCAACCATACTCTCCTGGAGCCCAAAGACTTAAAGATTTACCGTGGACTGCTAGCGATGTCAACTAAAGAATCAACGCAGATCTTCAGTCGGCATCGTTTACGGTCAGAAATTCGACGGTATTTGATCGTATTCAGAACTATGACGTTCGCTCCTGATAAGTTAAAACATTCTTGGCAAATGCTTTTGCTGTAGTTTGTCTGGCGTTGATTCCAGAATTTCACCTTTAACACCGCCATACAAATGCCCCGGTCTGTCCTTCGAATCCAAAAACCAACAAAATAGAACCGAAATTCTATTTCATTACTCCATGCAGAAATTTTCAGGTGCATAGACCTTCTTTAAGCACTCAAATTTGTTCAAAGTAAAGATGCCATCCAATTTCGACATCCGTTTAAAGGCATCCAAAATCATGCCAACAGATCAACAAGACGAAATCGTCAACCCACCAGCACCCAGTTAACATATACACATGAATTTAAATTCACTTGGTATTGTTTACTTGAATCTTCCCATTGATGTTTAGGACTGCAATTGATCAGTCACTTATTAGCATATATACATACTGTGCGCATTGCCTCAATATAACCTTATACACTCAGAATAAACATATGCCAACAAGAGATTGATTGATCGCAGTCCTAAACATCAATAAGAAGATTCAAACAAAAAATACGTAGTGAATATAAATTTCGGCTCATTTCAAGCAAGTAACCGTCAGGACACAGTAGCTAAGTAGATAACATGATGGCGTTTGAAGTGTAAGGTACTGAGTTAGTGTTGCAGAGTGAACATCAATTGTGATGATGAAGGTACATTCAGCTGATAAGTCCTAAGCATGACTACTACTACTACTACTACTACTACTACTACTACTACTACTACTACTGTAGTGAACAAGAACACAGGTGGGGACAATCGAATGTATTTAGCTCGAAAATTACAGACTATCTCAACAAAATCTGAATACCATAAAGTCAATCGTCAATTTGCAAATTATCAATGCATCATATCAAACTGTACTGTTCAAGTTGCAAACACTAATCCGTTGTCTCCCATTTCATTGTTCATGCGATTTCTTACAAATTCCATTGCGTTCTTGCTCTTCTTTTCTTGATCTTCTCCATTTTCTGCTGCCAGACATTACATCCTTTTAACGCACGCTATATACTACTTATGTCAATATAAGTAGTTCACACCACACTACTACTACTACTACTACTACTACTACTACTACTACTACTACTACTACTACTACTACTACTACTACTACTACTACTACTACTACTACTACTACTACTACTACTACTACTACTACTACTACTACTACTACTACTACTACTACTACTACTACTACTACTACTACTACTACTACTACTACTACTACTACTACTACTACTACTACTACTACTACTACTACTACTACTACTACTACTACTACTACTACTAATCGCTATCCATCTTTGTCCGTAATGCTTTGAATTTAGATTTAACAAATATGTATATTTGCGATAGCGAATGAACATAACAAGAAAACAAAAAGAAGACGAAGGATAAGAATAAGAAAAGGAAGAAGCATAAACAATATGAGTGTTGTTTTTAACTTCAAATAAAATATTGTTGTAATAACATATCTAATTTAATTGTATAAATAAATCATAATAAAATAAATATGAACATTAATCTAATATTCATTATGTCAATTTATTTTAATCGTAATTGTTTCATTGATTTCGTTCGAACTAGAAAATAGATTAATGCAGCAATAGCAATAGTTAATAGAATAGCAGCAAATACAATTAATGCAATTGTTCCAGGATGTACTTGTTGAAAGGGAACAGAGAAAAATAAAATAAAATACGAGAAAATGAAAACAAAGAATTAGTTTATTCAATTAAGAAATACTAAGAGTATAATTTATGAATGAACCAATCAGATCATAAGAGAATAGATCTTGGATTTTAATGTGAATTAATTCATTCATCGATTTGATTAAATAGAGGTTTGACATTTTAGCTATTTATATTTATTTGTTTATTTGTATACATAAATATTGGTACAATGGAGCACTGAATACATATACACCACACAAGTCACTTGATTTGTGTGTAGGCTGTGATACTGTTCGGATGCTCAGACCAAAGCAGTTGGTTTCCTTAGGGGGCTACACCTGGAGCCTTTGATCTAAAGGTCTGATCTATATGGTAGTGGATCAACATCAGGAGATACAGTCTCATGGTAGCGGGTGATTAATAATTGGTTCATACGCCATTTGTTCCTTCAGGATCATGAAGCCCATATGCACAACTGGCTTGGAATGAGAGTTTTCCAACTCCTCTAGGTGAACTCTCTATGTGCACCAACCCGGTTACAGCGCCGAACATTCGCTTCTCGTCCTCTCAATTTCTTGAACAATACCCCTGCCGTGAGAAGGCAGTCAGCAGAACGTCCCTGGCAGTGGCTGCATACGCGTGGCCATGTGAGAGCATTTGGAGAGAGACAGAGAGAGAGCTGACTCTCCTCACTCTCTGCCGTACCAGGACACCATTAGATGCCGGCTCAGTGGCCCAGTTGTTTAAGCGTTCGCGTGCAAGACCGGAGGTCCTGGGTTTGAATCCCGCGAGCGGGATCGTGTGTGCACACAGCTGAGGAGTCCCGCAATAGGACGAAATGACCGGTCAGTGACATCAATCGATTCATGATCTCAATCAAAAAAGAAGAAATCGATTTCATTGTAGAAATTTGTTTTGGCATGATACTCTTCGATCTACTGTTCTTGAAGTAGTATTGGTTTTTTTAGAAGTAAAGTTACTTTTTGTTAAAATGTATCTATCAGTTATGTAAGATTCATCATTAAAGAGATTGATGTCAAACTACTCGGTAACCTTTGTAAGTTATAGCTTGCACAATACAAAATATCACAATCAGAATACTTAATACCAAGCTATTAAATACAATACAGCAATATAGGAATGTATTGGTATACAAAAAACCTATATACTATTGTTGAGTCGGCTTTCTGAGTACTGCAACGAAGCCTCCAGAGGGCCCAGAGGAGCCGAAGAGTCCTAGCTAATCAGAGCATGATGGAGCTTTCTAGAATGTCAACGTGACGTGCTACTATTTGTCAGTAGCATAATATGTTTCTTAACGGATTGGCTAAAATATTATGTTGATTTAATAAATGTTAACATCTATAAATACTTATGTTTTCTGTACAAAAACGAACCTTGGAGTAAAGTATTTTTCGCATACTTTGCGTCTTCTCTCTTGTGTTCAGGTCGCTGTATAGTTCTAGCTTGGGGGTTACATAATGGCTTAGGAAACGAATATAGCATTCAATTCGCAAGACTTATCAACTATAATACATATAGTGTATTGGGGAAAAACATTTTGAAACATACGTGTACAATTTTTTCCTGGATCTTCTGGATTTACATCTTTCCACATTGGATCACATGTACATGTAACACCATTGTCAGTATTTCGACATGATGCATGTTCACCACAAAGTGATCGAGTTTGTGAACATGTAATAGTTGGTGAAATCCCTGTGAAAACAGTATAACGTTTTAAAGAAAATCAGCTCAAGAGTTAAATATGATCAAAATTATTCAATAAATTAAAGAATGTTGGAAGTATAGATAGAAGAATATAGGCAGAAAACAGTAATGTGTTTGTAAGAAGAATATGTATTGGTTTAATTCATTACGATTCTTTTCATCAGAAAAATATCCTGGATTATTTTTTTATGTTGGTTAGTAATTGAAAACAGAACCTGAGTTTCATGCTATTCATGTCTTATCTGTTGGATGGATCTAAATTGAAGGTGGATACAAACTCGACGCCCATCACTTCAAACATGAATGAATTATTCAGTATGTTATAAAGTCTTGAAATCAAGTAGTCCTTTAAAAATTATGACAAATATCTTGTGTTAATAAAGCTGTCTAGAAAGAAGATGTGTGAAGTACGAAAACATTGTACTCCTCAAAAGTAAATATTTGTAACTCCAAAAGGGTTCGAACACAGGATCATCTGGTCTCGTACGAAGTGCTCGGTCTTCGAACCAGTGAGCCGAGATACAGTTTCTTAGTGCAGTATACTGCAGGGTCACCGTGAACCGCAGATTTGAATTGCTGAGCAGTCTCATACTATGACGCAACAGTCTTACTGTGGTTCGTCGTTTCTAATGGTTGTTGTTCAAAATAATCTAAAACCTTTCACACTGAAGTTCATTTTCATTTGATGGTCAGGCTAGCCAACATTACCTATATTTCTTGATTGTTTTTAACGTCATGAGATAACAGTTTATTAAATGGCAGAAAAACCTTTTAAATCTTACACCATAAAAGTTTGAAATATAACGAAAACTCTAAGATTCAAACAAACCAGCCTGTTGATTTGGAAAGCAGACTCCGCATCAATGTGGTAACAAGGATGGTATTGATGACACATAAGTTGATTGGTGACATGAACATCTTTAAATCTCTTAACACTAAGCAGGACTGACTAGTTCATATTCTTGACCTACTACTATTGTTATTCATTATTTGTTAAGTTAATTTTGTTTTGTGGAGAAAAGGGACGAACCGACTTATTATTTACTACCATTGGTTGATATCATCATCTGATCAATTTAGCTAAGATTTATTTCTAGTGTAACCTAGACCACTATTAAAAATATTTACATTTCTATTTATCTATCTAATGCAGTAATTCTCAGTTTTTTGCATATACTATAGATCAGTTTTAACTGATTAGCTTTATTACTGAGTAGTCACATGGCAGGATGACATAACTAACGCATATTTCTTGACTTTCAACAGTTACCAGGTTAAAGTTAGTACGTAATTCAAACCATAAAACTCAACAATCTTCATAAACTTCTAGTATTGATCACATGGTTTAATTATAAAGTTACAGATCACTATTTACATATGAGCTGGAATTTCAGAACTTAAACACATATATGCACAAGCAAGTGGCCATCAGGACTCAGTAATTCAGTGGATAACGCGATGGCGTTTGAAGCGCGTGGTACTGGGTTCGAGTCTCAGAGTGAACATCAACTGTCAGATATAGGTACATCCAGACAACGAGTCATAAATAGGAGGAAACGCGCGTCCTGGATTCCACTGATAGCCACTATTCATCTTTGTTTGCAATGCTTGTGAATAAATATGATATCGAGGCAATACGCACAGTATACACATATGCCAATAACAGACTGATCAGTTGCAATCCTAAACATCAAAGGGATGTTTCAATTAAACAATACCAAATTGAATTAAACACATAATATTACATACGCGTTGTATCAACGCCGGTTAAATAATTTCCACTTGATAAATTAAGTTTTTGATAACCACTAAATAATATTTGTGAAAATTGTGCTTGATTTAACTGTGAACCAGCTAATGTTTGTAATTCAGTTTGTGCATTTCCTTGAACAGCATCAGTTGTAATATTGTTAGAGCTTTGAATTTGTCGTTTAGAAGGTGAATTTATTGTAGTTCGAATGAATCCAATGAATGTACAAGTTGCACCACGAGTTATTTGTGTATTTTGTGTTAATAAACTCTGCAATAGCTTAAATTGTATTGAAAAGAGTGAAAAATATGATTTAATATGCATAAAATAGCACCTCATTGCTACTCATTAGAAAAAAACTATAAATATTTTGGTTATACAACACTTATAAGTACGTAGTAATAATGGGTATGATAGATTTGACAATTTTTGTCAAAATATTGCAAAGGTTATAGCTAAACAATAATGGTTTAATAGTTGAAATCATCAGTCCATTGAAGCTAGACCACCATGGAAAACCTGGGAGCACTGGATGGCCGTTTCGTCCTAGTTTGGCAGTCCTCAGCAATGCACATCCACGATCCCCCTCTGAGAGATATGAAACCAGGAACTCTCTGTCTCGCGCGCGAGCGCTTAAGTATTAGACCCCTGAGCCATCATCCAACGGTGTTAATGTCTAACTTCAATCAACTCGCGAAATTGAGCCACCGTAAACCACTGTCTTCGGTGAGCTGTTTGAAGAGAGTATTACGAAATATCATAACAGTTGTAGATACTTTTTGGGCCCATCTAATTGTTCTAGTAAGATTTACGCTCACATCTCCTAGTATAGAAGTCGGAATCGTTATTTTTGAGGTATACATATCATTTCTGGCTGTTACACTGGGTGATAAAAGTTCAAATCGGGAGGAGAATATAATTCCTTCCAAGATTGTAAGTATGTCTAAGTGTTCAGTAATAGATAGCAGTGCGTCTTGTCAACTATCTTCAATCATTTAACATCTGTTAAACTTCTGTTTTGACATATGTATGAGATGATGTATTCATGAGTTTTGCATTTTGTATATTCTGAACATAATTATGGTTGTAATTTGTAACAAAATTATACATCATGTTTGCTTTCTAAATTGATAGACTTTAAGTATAAAAAAATGACACATACCAAGGA